GAAACAGCCACCGAAGATGCTCATCCGGGACCGTGCTCTGCAAGAGACCACTTCTGAAACGAACCTCCTGCGTGAATCGGGGGTGCAGGGCGCGGAACGGCCCTGCTGTCCCGTCGCGAGCTAGCTGCCATTGCCGGCTGCTCTCTGCGAAGTGCTTGCGCTCCTTTTGGATTGCCTCCCTCTGCACGTTCAGCCATCCAGAGGGCACGAAGGCGGGCGGCACATCATCCCTGCCTTTCGGCATGGCAACAACGCGTGCACCCTGAGCAAACGTTTACGTTCATAGCAACATCAATGGTCAATGATGGATGGCAGAGTCGTGAGGCTCGGCGGACTCCGGAGTACCAACACTGTTCAAACACAGAGCAGGGGGCATGACGTAGAGAGAATATGCCACCATGCACATGAAGATGGTGACGACGGCGATACTGCTAATGACAATGATGCTCATGACTGTGATGGCAACCGTATGGCGTCCGCACAATCCATCCCTCTTGGACGATCGATTCTCACATCAAACATGTCATAACACCCAACATGCGTTCGAATGAGAGTCCTACGGGGCACCAGCGCCAGGAAATGCAAGTCTGGCGATGATGCATCAGCACTGCCCAAACTCGCGCACCGTCTCTCGGTAAGACATACGCACATACGCACACGCCATGGAAGGTGCTACGACTGACACGGACCCACCGGTGGGCCTAACAGTGTGACGTGCCGCCTTCCGCCTTCCATCCAGACCCGGGTGCCGACAAAGGAGCAGAGGGCGGCACCAAACGAGCGCGCCGCCCAATTTCGAAACATCTTTACGACGTCAGCCCCACAAGCAGCTGCCACCTCCCGGGCGAAACGCCGCGGTGCGATGGCCATTCGCAGCGTCAAAAATTCAAAACACCACACGAAGGACTGCCGTGGACGAGCAGAACTCCACTTGATACCGACACAAACAAGCGAAAACAGACGATGCTGAAGGAGAGGGGTCCGTGTACAACCGTCGTGCTACCATAAGGGACGCTGAATAACGAATCAAGGGGCTTTCTAGCCACAACGAGCCTCGGCCAAGAACCGGCTCCCCGACCTACAAAGTAGACAACATATCGGCGTCTTGACTGTACGGCGCACAGGGTGCGCGAGCGCGCCAGCCCGGCCGAGGCACGCCGGCGGTGATGATGCTGAACAGGTGATGGTGATGCAGGTGCGCGCGGCGGGAATCACGGCCGGTGTGAAAAGGGAGCGTTCCGTTCTCGGCAAGTTCTGGGGCGACCAGAACCACTTGTGCTCTCCGCTTCCGCTCTTCTGAGTGCCGTCGATGCGACGACTCGTAATCGAGGATCGAGCCTTCCAGGCTTCGGGGGCTCGATACTTCGAGGATCGAGGCTCGAGGATTCGAGGATCGAGGCTCCGAGGCTCGAGGATCCAGGCTTCGAGGATTCGAGGACCGAGGCTCAGAGGATTCCAGGATCCAGGCTTCGGGCATCGATACTTCGAGGCTCGAGGCTTCGAGGCTCGAGGGCTCGAGGCTTGGAGGAGTCGAAGAGCGAGGATCGAAAAAAGACTCCCGCGCGCAGATGGCGATGACGGCTATCGCGATGGCGAGCACGAGCGCACATCAGGAGCGTGGAGCAGTCCGAGGGTGTCGAGCGAGAGCCTGCAACCGCTGCGGGGCAAATCGAACATGGCGCAGGTGCCTGCATTGCTCCTCGTGCTCGTGCTCTTCGGCTCTCCCTGCGTCCCGGTATGCCTCCTCTCGTACTCCTCTAGCTTCTCGTCCATCTCCCGCCCTCTTCCCTCCGTAGCCATTTTGGCTCAAAGTGTTCTACTTGAGGGCTCGGAGCCCCGAGGCAGAAATGGATGCCGCTGGACCGCGGCTCGACCATCGCCATTTTGTGCAACCCGAGTCGAGCTGCGCGCTGCTCAGGCCAAGAGTGTTCGTCAGGGGGCCAGGTCTCCCAAGATGGTCCCTCCGCCTGTGCACCAGCGGAAATGGTTCTGCAAGTCGTGTAAGCACGAACCCTCGCGCAGGCAGATTCTCAATTTTGCGGAGAACAACCAGAGCCACATGTGCAAGCTCTCGAAGAGCATCTGCTTTGGAGGCTACGTGCAGGCCAAGGAACCCTCCGCCTCTTCGGGGCGCAAAGGGCAAGCAAGCGGTGAACGAGCCCCGTAGGTCAAATCTGCGGACGTCGCGAAGCTGGCCACGCTGGTCAAGTCGCTCGAGGCCAAGCTGGCCAAGGCCAACGCGAGCACCGGCCAGCAGCGGCCCAAGGTCTTCGATGTTGACCTGGGGTGCGAAGTCGTGGCCGACAAGGACCGCTTGGCCACAATCGACCGCGAGCTCTCCTCCATTGCAGGCCTCGTCGGCGAGCGGTGGGAGACGATCGGCGGCGATTTCCAGCTGGAAAAGCAGCAGCTTGAGAGCAATATGCTGTCCGAGCAGGCCTACTGCAAGCGGCTGCGGGCTCTACTCGTACGAGTACGTGTGGACAAGGCAGAGAAGAAGCTGGTCAAGTCTAAGCAGCATCAGGAGGGCAGCAGTAAGCGGAACGCCGACGCGCAGTCGGCGCTGCAGGAGGCCGACAAGCTTGACCAGGAGCAGGAGAACGAGCTCGGCCGCCCCAAGACGGCCCCAGAGGCACCCAAAACCACCCAAGAGGGCCCCAAAATGGCCCCAAGGAGGGCCCAAGAAAAGGACCCAGAACCGAACATCCGAGCCCTCCGCTCGAAGAGGCCCCCAGGAGGCCCCTTGAGGTCCCCAAGAGGCCTCAAGGGGCTCCGAAGACGCTTCGAGAAGTCCCAAGACGCCCCAAAAAGGCTCCAAAACGGCCCCCAAGATGCGTCTACACTGCCTCCAAGAGGCGCCCGAGAAGCCTCACACGAGATCCAAACAAACATCCAAAGGCTTCATCCCCACAACCCAGGCATGGTGGCGGGATGGGCCGAAGGCCATGAGATAGCAGGAGGTGGGAGACTTGGTACACGAACGAAGGGGTCCTGGACCGCAGACGTAAGACGATCTATGTGTTTCAATCCGCGTCCCGAGAAGGTCGCACACTGCTTTACCGAATAAGTTGGCGCCTGTGGCGGGCTCGTTGCATCATTTGTGAAAATTCGGCGCCTGCGGCGGGCTTCCTCAGAGCCTCACAGACTGCCGACGTCCCCGCTGCCGCCTCACTCTTATCCGCAACTGCGGGGTGTTACATAGCTCGCCATCGCTCGGACGTCCATTCCCTGTGCATGTGTAGGTTTCGTGCGCATATTTTTCTCAAGGTGAGCAGAAATGCTCCTCGATAGCGCGGGCCGCGAAAAAGTGCACACCTCCGAGCGATGCCAAGGCGTAGGAGATCTGGGGCCCCAGGGCGCCCCCCCACGGGGCCAGCTCTTCATCCCGAGCCGCTCCCTGGCGGTCCATGGGGCCTCGGCCCTCGGAGTCGTGTGCCTCGGCCTCGGCCGCGGGCCCTCGGCGCGGGCCGCCCGCCTCCTCGTCCAGTCTTCCTCCTCCACCTCTACCTCCGCCTCCTCCTCCTCCAGCTTCTCCACCTCCACCACCTTCTCCTCCTCCTCTTCCTCCTCCACCTCCTCCACCTCTCCTATCCTCCTCCTACCACCACACCACCTCACCTCCTCTTTATTATATCCACATCCTCTACATCTCCTACCTCAACAACTCCTCCTCTTCTCCTCCTCCCCCTCAACCTCCTCCTCAAATCCCCTCTACCCCTCCCCTCCTCCTCCTCTCCTCCTTCCTCCTTCCTCCTCCTCAGCTTTCCACCTCCACCACCGCTCTCCTCCTCCACCACCTTCCACCTCCTCGCTGGATACTTCTCCCCTACTCCTCTCCTCCCTCCACCTCCTCCTCCTCCTCCTCCTCCTCCTCCTCCTCCTCCACCTTCTCCTCCACCTCCACCTTCTCCCCACCTCCACCTCCTCCTCCACCCTCATCCACCTCCGTGCCAGCTCCTCCGCCGTCTCCTCTGAGGCTCCTCCTCCACCTCCACCCCCTCCACCTCCCCTTCACCTCCTCCTTGTTCTTCCTCACTCCTCTCCTCCTCCTGCTCTCCGCACCTCCCCCTTCCTCTCCTCCACTTCCTCTTCTTCTCCTCATCCTCTCTCCTCCCTTCCGCCTCCTCCTCCGCCCCCTTCCCCTCCTCCTCCTCCTCCTCCTCCTCCTCCTTCTCCTCCTCTGCCTCCTCCTCCACCTTCTCTTCCTTCTCCTCCTTCTCCCCTTCCCAGTCGTTCTCCCAGGAAGCGCCCGCGGGGAGCCTGAAGGCGGCGACAAGCCTCCGCGCGACCCCCCTCCCTCGGGCCCTGCACCCTCTCCTTGCTGATCCGCCACCGCCGGCCAGGCCGCCACCCCGCATCGGCAGGTCCTCCTCCTCCGCTCAGCGGCAGGCTCTGCCGCGAGGGCAGCACGGCCACGCTGGTGTGCATCCCAACCTCGCGCGGGGCGCTCGATCCATGTCTGCCCCCCCATGTCCTGCTCGACCTCCCAGCCACCCAGATCTCCGACGACACTGTTCTTAAACGTCGCACGTTTTCCTGAACTTCGGCTTCTGGGGCTCGTTGCCGTCTCAAGACTCCCGAGCCCTGACGGGGCCAGAGCAAGCAGTGTCGGCGGATCGCGCCGCGCCGCCGATGCGTCCGCGGTGCAACGGCGGCGCACTGGGGCGGAGAAGGATGCAGATCGAGCCACGTCGCCGATGCACCAGCGACGCCGCGCGGCCCCCTCCGAATCGATCCGCTTGGGTCCCATTCGGGTGGCCTGTAGCTCCTCTCCGCGGCGAGCGAGAGGAGAAAGAGGGAAGCAGGAGGCCTTCTCAGAAGGCGGCGGAAGTTCTCGGAAACCATCGCGCCTTCTGAGAACTCGTCTGCGTCTTCGGGGAAGGCCCAGAAACCTTCCTGGCTCCGAACACCAGGGCTGAACCTAAACGGTGTTGTTCGGTTTCGTTTTGTTTTCGTTTTCCCTCGCTCTTGTCTCGAATCTGCCTTCCCCGCAGAACGAAGTCGAAACCAAAACGGCCCACGAAACCACCAAAAACACCGTTTAGGTCCAGCCCTGCGTGTAGGAAGAGATGATTTTCGACGAACCAAGAACACACACCCATACCCATAGGGGGATCGGAGAGGGCTATGGGTGCGTGTTGTCGGATGGGGGTCCCCGCTCGAACGGGAGCCTTCCCCAGGGTCCGACAACCCGCACCCATGCCCATAGCCAGTCCTCCTCCCAACGACCCCCCTATGGGCATGGGTGCGTGTTGTCCGTTCGTCAATGTTTGCCCCGCCCTGCCGAACACCTCTCGGAAGGCCAGAGGCCTTCCGAGCCTCCTCGGAAGGCCCGCCCCTCCGCGCTTCGCCCCCCCCCCGGGGCGCGCCGCCGATCCTCCCCCACCGGTCCTCCCACAAGCCTCCGCGTCCGTGCCGGACGAGGGGGAGAACACTCCCTCCCTCCTCCTCCTCCTCCTCCTCCTCCTCCTCCTCCTCCTCCTCCTCCTCTCCTCCTCCTCCTCCTCCTTCCTCCTCCTCCTCCTCCTCCTCCTCCTCCTCCTCCTCCTCCTCCTCCTCCATCTCCTCCTCGAGCGTAGCAGAGGGCGGACAGTCCTCCATGAGCTCCTTAGCCACCGCCTGCGCGGGGGCGCCTCGACTGGCAGCGGACCGCACGAACCTGGCCTGCCGCTTCGCGGTGGCTGAGGACGGGGTGCGCGGGGGACGGGAGAACCCTGAGCGCATTATACATATTGTACGCATGCACAACAGGCTCGAGGGACTCGACCTCCTCCACCTCCTCCCTCCTCCTCCCTCCTCCCTCCTCCTCTCCTCCTCCTCTCCTCCTCCTTCCTCCTCCTCCTCCAAGTGCCCACGGACCACGCGAGGGCACTCCGTGCTGCGACTCGAGAGCGGACAAGGGGCACGGCTTCGAACCCGTTCCTGCTGCATCCTGCGGCGCCCCCGGGCAGGGGAAAAAGCACGCCACGCGGCGCAGCATTGGGCCCCCCCGCTCGTCGGGGGCCCCTCCCGGACACGGGAGCCGTGCACACCCCCGCCTGGCCCCCAGCCGTGGGGCTCCGTGCGTGGCGCCCGCCCTGGACCCCGGCAGGCGCCGGGGCCCGTGCACGTCGGGACGGCAGCCCTCTCGGTCTCTCGGGCCCACGGGCCGGGCCAGCTCGCGGCGGGGGGGGGGGGGGGGGGGGGGGGGGGCACCTCGTGGGAGGGCAGCGTGCTCTGCTTCTCGGCCCGGGCTGCGGGCCCCGCAGTGCTGGAGGTCGGTGGCTGGGGCGGGCGAGGAGGGAGGAGGGGGGAGGACGAGGGGGAGGGGGAAGCGAGGAGAGGGAGAGCACGAGCGGGCGGAGGAGAAGCTCGGAGGATGGCGAAGGTGTCGGGCGAGATTCGGACTAGCGTCCTGCCGATTCCCCTTTGGAGCGGGGACACTCGATGCCCGTTGGGCGGCGCCAAGGGAGGCTCCAGCAACCCAGAAGTGGAGGCCGACCTGCGCGAACGACCAGGGAAAGTCCAGAGGACGCCATAACGAGAAGACAGCAAGCCTCGATATTTGACCCTGGAATCGGGCTGGCAGATGCAGCACAGGCCTGGGCGCTCTTCCTGGCGGGGCGATGGGGCCCTGGGGCAAGTTGAAGCAGAACGGCTTACCTTGATTTGGTGTTCCATGCGTGCCAAGAGGTTCGCCCGCGTGGACCCCAACCAGTTGGTTTGGGCCAGCTCTGTGTTGTGCGCTGCTTGAGGTGAGCGGTGTGGCGAAAGCTCTGCGGCGCAAGGCGCGTGGTCGAAGCTGCCGTGGTGCAGGCTGTGCGGTGCGAGCTCCGCGGCCGCCCAGCGCACGAGGCGCCTGCGAGGCGCCCGCCCACAGGCGGGCACTGGGCGACGCCCCGGCGGAACCACCCGACGCACGAGGCGCACACGAAGCGCCCACGGGGCGGGCAGCAGGCGAGACACGCTTGGCAGAAGACCCCGGCTGGCCCGTGCCAGTCCTCCAGGAGCAGAAACAGCAGACCCTAAGCGCAAACACTGGCTGGGGAACTTGTCCACTGCGCCCGCCCGTGGACCAGTGCCAACCGTGGTAGAGCACGTGACATGAGCGTAACAAGATGGTAGAAAGATTGGTTTTGGAGCAGCTCCATCACAACGTATAGCTCGCTGTGGCACCCCACACCACGCATGCGATCCCCACACTTAAACCGATGTGATTGCCCTTACGGACCTCCAAAGGCTGATACGCCACTTGGGGCCTGAGAGGCTTGTTGCTGTCCGTATGGATTCAATGCCCGTAAAGGAAGGTGGGCCAATGCAACTCCGATGATAAATTTGCATCGAGCACCTAAACTGGCTGCCACCAGCCCGGGAGCACGTGCACTCCAGAAATATCTGCTACATGGCGGCGCGGCGGCGTGTTTAAATCTGTGCGGCGCAAGTGAACTTCGGCTGCGGCCATGTGGAAACTCGAATTCGAAGGCCAGGGAGGTGTGCTGAGCGGGAGTCGACCTAGTGCCCTCATCGTCTAATCCCTGCCCTTCCCCTTCCCCTCCCCCTCCTCATGAAGTCTCCTGACAGATAGAGGTCACGAGGCAGGCAGCGGACACTCTACTGTACTGTTGCTGCGCCCATAACCAGAAGAAGAAACATCGCCGTAAACATTACCTTTCGAAGGTCAACCCGGACTTTCTTGGATCGGTGCTCTGGACCCCCACCCCTTTGGCGCGTGGAGCGCGCAAGGGGCGGCGCCGGCGTCGCCGCCAACGGGGGTCCGGCGCTGATCCGAGCAAGCCGCGCGGACGTCCGAAACCTCGTGCTGCTGCAGCTGCCTCTTCGGGAGGCGAGGGGGTCGAGCCCCGGATTCTATGGAGGTCGGCCTCGCTCTGGAGGGTCGATCACCTGGTGGCTGCTCGCAGGGTGCCACGGGCTCACGCCCGGGGCGTCGGCTCCACGCGGGGTCCAGCGCTCTTGGCAGCGGGCACGAGCCCACAAAAACCGCCGCGAGCGGCGCGGCCCACTTTGGATCGACGCCCTCAGCGCCCGCCTACAGCGCCGGAGGGGGAGCTGCGCATCGGCAGGGGGCAGAAGCGGGAGATCAGCAGAGGGGGGTTGGAGGCAAGCTCCCGTCGCGATGGCGCATGCTGGCGCTGTTTTATCCTGACACGAGGAGAACGAAGAACGGCATGAACATAAAAACTCGGGCCTCCGAGTTTTTGTGAGTTTATGCCATTCTTCGTTCCCCTAGACGCCGCGCAAGGTCGTTCAAGCTGGAACGAGCGTGGGGGTTCGACTAAGGAGCCGAACTCTATACACCGACGCTTTTTCCGGCCCCGCACTGGAATGCGCACAGGAAAGCGGCTCCTGGTGTATACGGAGCCAGGCGTAAACATTCTTGGATGTCTTCCCCCGGGAAGTGGGGAAAAAAGGTACACACCACACCACCCCGACGTCGTCCCCGACCCTCAACAAGTTCTGGGATTGAGAAGCAGCCCGCCACTGTCGGGGAGACGTAAGACTCGGGTACGGGGGACTCGGGTTGGCCCGACGGGGCCATCATAAAAATGACGAGGCCCAATCTGAAATTTGACGCGAGCTCCCGCTGCAAACCTCCCACGAAAACTGGACCGTCAAAATCCAGGACGCGCTCGTCAAAAAAACGTCGGCACACCCGAGTTCCGGCTTACTCGGGTCTTGCGTTTCCCCGCCACCGGTAGTGTATATGTCCCAGCTTCCGATTCGACGGCACAGATCGCTCGACGCCGGCTGCCTCGGGGCCACGGGCGGCGCTCCTCCCTCCACGCCCCGTGCGGGCACCGCCGCCGCGCCAGCGCGGCGCCATCCTGCCGTGGCGGATCATAGACTGGCAGCTCTGGAGGATGCATCGGGCGCCGCGGCCGTTCCGGAGCATTGGCGATCGCTCTGAGAGCCTTCTGGAACGCTCTGGCACGACTTCTCCTGGTCGTAGCCCCGCCCGAAGAGACCCCCCGAAGCCCCTCCCCGCAACACCGTCCATGTAAGGCTTTCATCACCTCTCCTCCCTCAGCCTCCTCCTGCCTCACCTCCTCCTCCTCCTCCTCCTCCTCCTCCTCCTCCTCCTCCTCCTCCTCCTCCTCCTGCCTCCACCTCGTCGTCCTCCCCTCTCTCCTTGTCTCTGGGGGGCAAAAAGGTACCCATGCCGCTACTCCCCGCACCTCTCCCAGAGAGCGTTCTGACAAGAACTTCAAGGAGAATCCAGCCGTGGGGACGAGGGATCTCCAGCGGCTGCTCCTCCTCCCTCTCCTGCCCTCTTGGAGTGCCCCCCCCTCATTCCTGGAATGCTCAGCCCTCAAGGCTGAGTGCGGGCAATATCTATATCCACATCCACTGCGTCTTGGACTTTCTGTGAAGGGGCACCACAAGGCCGAGGCGCAGTGTGATCATGGACAAACATCTAGCCGCTAAGGGCAAGATTTTTATGCATATCCACTACGCCTAGGGTGTATGGGGAGAAGGTAGCCCGAAACTCCAGAATGCAGTGGATATGGGTAAGGCCGCGTCCATTTATAGCGTGACAACTTGCGGCAATCACACACACGCACACACACAACACACACACAACACACACACACACACGTGTTGGCGGGCATGCTGTGTCATCCTTCCCAGGAGCCCTCGGGAGCCCAAAGGGGCTTATGTGACCCCGTGGTGGCCCCGTGACCCAGTGGGGCTGTCTGACCCCGTGTTGACCCTGCCCGCCGCCTCGGTGCAGAGCCCTTGCGACGCGAACAATATGGACGGCGACGTGCACATGGCGAGTTCTGGTAACCTTGGACCAAAAATCTCCTCATATCTTCCGAGGCAAGCTTTTACTTCCGCCGCCTTCCGCAGGCCATCCGCCGGCTTCCGCTGGCGGATGCGGCCTCGTTTTACTCCCGCCGGCCTTCCGCCGCCTTCCTCCGAGTGAGAGATGCCAACTCTTTCGACCCTCGAAGGCAAGGCACGTTCTGCAAGGCCTCACGTCTCGCCCGTACTGAATGCACGGCCGCCCCCCGCAGGAGCTCACTTGCAGCGCACTCCCAGGCGGCGACATGAGGGCCAAGGGCTGCCGCCCGGAGGCGGCTCACGGCGCTCCGGCGGCCTGTCGACGACGCAGGCGACGACGACGACGCCGACGACGACGACGACGAGGACGACGTCGACGACGAGGACGACAACGACGACGACGACGACTTTTGCTAGAAGCAGCTGCAAGGCTGACGACGACGACGTCGACGGCAGCGGCGGCGGGGGCGAGGCCAACCAGGAGGACGACGAGGCCGGCGGGGACCACAGAGACGACGAGGACGTCGACGGCGGCGACAGCGACCACGACACACGACGACGGCGGCGGGGAGGGCCTCCCGAGGCCCCCCGAGGCGCTGAAACGTTCCGAAGACCTCCGCCTTCCAACCCCGATCCTCGAACCTCGAGCAACTCGGGGCAAACGGAGAGAGGGTACACATCAAAGGCGGACTAGGGAATCCGTTGCGTGCAGCTGCTGTCTCCAGCGCCGCCCAGCGGCGATGCCGAAACCCGCTGCACGCAGCAGATTTCGCACATCTCCCTGTCCCAATCCCCCCCCTTCCCTTAATCCGACGTCTAGATAGAAACAGCATCGTGAAACATCACGACCGTAGCCGCGTAGCCGCACCCTGTCTTTCTGCGCCATGTCTCGAGACGGATCCATCTGCGGGGATACAAGGCCCGAGCCTGGGCAAAACACGCCCGGCGCAACGAACTGCGACGCTAAGATCTCAGGGGTCGCCCCCGGAGGGGAACGCTCTCAAGGCGAAACTGGCTCAGGGGGGGAATCGACCTCGTCATCGCCGTCGTCGGTCGTCGTCGTCGTCGCCGTCGTCGTCGTCGCCGTCGTCGTCGCCGTCGTCGTCGTCGCCGCCGTCGTCGTCGTCGCCGTCGCCGTCGTCGTCGTCGTCGTGCCCCCCTGCCGTTACCCTGAGCCCCCCCCTTTTGATGGGCCGATTTTCCACCACCACTGCCATAGGTAGGAGAGGGAGGCGGAGGAGGAGGAGGAGGAGGAGGAGGAGGAGGAGGAGGAGGAGGAGAAAGAGGAGGAGGAGGAGGAGGAGGAGGAGGAGGAGGAGGAGGAGGAGGAGGAGGAGGAGGAGGAGGGGGAGGACAAGGAGGAAGAGGAGGAGGAGGAGGAGGAGGAGGAGGAGGAGGAGGAGGAGGAGGAGGACCTCCCCATCCTCCCTTCTCCACCGCCCTACCCAGGGCAGTAGTGGTGGTGGTGGACACGTGGCCCGTCACCACTTCCTCCAATCCGCCCCCCCCCCCCCCACAGTCCGACCCGAGTGGCCTCCTTGCATCGCCTCGGGGGGCGCAGCTGCCGGGGAGAGAGCGCCCGAAGCTGGGCAGCGCCGCCGAGAACCGACAAAGGGAGTCCGAACAGCAATCCCGAGGGTCGAACACCCTTCTGGGGGGCGACGTCGAGTACACCCTGCGAAATGCTTAAGAACTTATGGGTTAAGAAATTCATAGTCTGTCTCAGAACTTGAATAAAAACCTAAAGTTTCCATTCAAATCTTGAGATTTACATTGAAACATTAAGAATAATCGAGACTCTGGCCGAAAATTCAAGTTTTCTTAAGCATCGCCTAAGGTGTACTCCCTCTGTGAAGGCGCAAACAGATTTCTCACGTGGAGGGGGACGCACACGGTCCTCAAGGGGGGGATGCTGTGCACGTGCACCTCGTGTTTGGATGAGGGCTCCCTCGGGGGCCCCAAGACCGTGCGGTGACGGACCGCGTGGTGACCTCGGAACCCCCAAAGACCTCACCGCGCGGTCCGTCACGGGACTCTCCACCCTTTTTTGGACCTCGGAGGCAGCACTCGCTTCGGACTTTTTCTGGAAAAACGACTGAAATCCCAAAACCGAGTGGTCACCACACCTTTTTTTAGGGGGGGGCCCTGACTCTCGCAGCGAACCCTTGTACGAATCAATGCAACCCCTTCAGGAAGGACAAAGTGATACCGATACCGCTACCCCCGGGACCTTTCCCACGGCGGATTCTGACCAAAATCCCGGGGCGAGTCTAGCAGTGGAGACGAGTACTTCCCAGGATGCCCAAGACGGCAAAAGCGCGGCAAGGGTAGCGTTATCCCCAGACATCTGGCGTCTCGATCTTTTCGGAACTCGGGCCCCCAACCTCTCGACAGCTTCCTCGGGATCGGTTTTCATCTCGCATGATAATTTCACGGTCCCAAGGCCCGACGGGGGCCCCTCACAGTCCGAAAATCGCCGAACAAAATCTGTAATGATTTGTTCATGACCCGAGGTGGTCTGGGTCGGCATCGGCAAGTAGAACAAAAACAATTGCATAAACAAAATGTCTTGGAAGTTCGCGCGGATGTCCTGGATCGGCACTAGACTCGTCTTCCTGGCGCGCGGAGATCGCCAGGCGCAGCGCCGGAGGCGCTGCCAGGGGGGCCTGGCGCCAATCCAAGAACTCCGTCTGGACCTCCGAGAGGTGATGCTTATGCCGTCTGTTTTTCTTCGACCAAGGGTAGCGTTATCGGTATCTCTTCCTCCTAGTCGTCGCCGTCGGTCGTCGCCGTCGTCGTCGTCGTCGTCGGTCGTCGCCGTTGGCTGTCGTCGTCGGTCGCCGGTCGTCGTCGTCGTCGTCGTCGTCGTCGTCGTCGTCGTCGTCGTCGTCGTCATCGCCATCGTCCTCGTCGTCGTCGTCGGCGAAGGCATCGACGTCGGCGTCGGCGTCGGCGCCGGCGTCGACGTCGTCGTCGTCGGTCGCTGGTCGTCGTCGTCGTCGTCGTCGTCGTCGTCGTCGTGCCGCTCGCCCGGCCTGGCGCTGCAGCAGCTCCAGCACGCTCGGCTGGCGCCCCCGCGGCGCCCCCGCGGCGCCCCGCGCGCCGTCGCTGGGGGCCGGCGCCAGGAGCGCGCCGTCCGCCGCCGAAGGCGCGGGGACGCCGTGCCTCTCGATCGGCGACGACGACGACGACCGACGACCGACGGCGACGGCGATGGCGACGGCGGCACCGAAGGCGACGACCGACGGCGACGACGACGAGCGACGACCGACGGCGACGGCGACGGCGACGGCGACGGCGACGACGGTGCCGAAGGCGGGGGCGGCGGCGGCGGCGGCGCGGCGGCCGCGGCGACGGCGGCGGCGACGACCGACGACCGACGACCGACGGCGACGGCGATGGCGACGACGGCACCGAAGGCGGCGGCGGCGGCGACGGTGACGGCAACGACGGCACCGAAGGCGGGGGCGGCGGTTGCGGCGGCGGCGGCGGCAGCGGCGACGACGATGGCGATCCCCCTGACCCAAACACAATGAAAAAACAAAACGGAAGTTTCTTGTCGTTTTCGGCCGCCACCACAGCTGGAGTCGCCTCGGAAATCCTGGCCAAAGCGCGCCGCTGGAGAGGCCCTCAAGGAGGAACGAACTCAGTTCCAAATCTCCGACGATCCTGCTTTTTCAATCCCAATGGCTTTTCTTCGATTTCAGCATCGGGGGGGCGTCATCGGGCCCCAGGGCCGTCGAACACGAATCAGGGACGAACCGCTAACCCTGGAGAAAGGCTCGGGACGTCTGGGGAAAACACGTGTCGATGGATGTCAGGGACTGTCAGTGGGGTCGCGCACTGTTTTCGCACCGGGCGAATTTCGGGCGAGTCGGGCGTTGCCGATTGGGGGCCGATAAATGTGGGGGGGAGGGGGGGGGAAGCGTGCATCTTTCGTGCCCCTTTTGGGCCGCAGGGGGTCTCTTTAGGGTACAAAAGGCGCCCCTTTCTGCCCCACCCCCCATGTATCGCCCCCCACTGTGCAACGACCGAGCAGTCGCCCGGATTTTCGGTCCAGAGGCCGTGGCAGAGTGATCCAGCTCGAGAGATGCCGCGGAGAGATGGGGTCCCAGGCTCTGGCCGTGATGTCTTTGGATGCCGGATTTTTTTGCAACGTCGGACCTCAAGAGAGCCTCCGCCGCCCACGGCCTTCGATGGTCTTGGGTTCGGCGGCGGGGCCGGCGGGACGCTGACGACGAGCACGACACTGACGACGACGTCTTCGTGTCGGAGTTTTTCGCAAGCCTCTTGAGACTCCGGGCGCCGCGGACGGACGCGCCCGAAACAAACGGGCCAGAATGGACCCGGGGAGGGCTCTGCGGACGGCATTTGAGCGGACTTCGGTCGGACGGCAAAGACGACGTCGGGGGGGGGGAATGAGGAGAGGGGATATGGGGAGGGCTTTAGGGAGCACAAGAGGCGGTTCTGGCGAGCTCTTGGGCCTTCAAGGCAGACGCTCCTCCCCAGAAGTCGCACCCCGCAGTATGCCGCTGGCTTGTGCCAGGGACGGCATGCGTAGCTACAAGGTCTAGGCTCACGTAATCGACCGTGCTAATTGCCCCATAACCGAATACCATTCGTCAAGCCGTGATTAGCGATCACCCCCCCCGCAATCCGCCGCTGGTTTGCGCCAGAGACGACTTGCGCAGCTGCATGGCCTACACTCGAGTAGTCGAACGTGCAACGTGCTGACGGGGATAGCCCCACAATTGAGTACCAGCGCACAGCGAGCGCACTGCGAGCCACGACGGCGTACCCGTTCATCTCGTCATCCTTGGCGTGGGTCTCGCCGCACCCTCTCGAAAGTTTAATGTCGGCGGAGGCCACCACTGCTAACGGCGGCGTGCACGATGAAAAAACAACATGGACGCTCCACCACTTCAACGCTCCTTCAATTTGGCCTCGTCAGGCGCGTTGTTCGCCGTGAGGTTGCTCTCCAACGAACGCCCTTGGGTGGGGCCGTCGTGATTGGAACCCTTGCCCAAGCTGCATTAGCAATGAATCGGTCGAGCTCCGCTGTCGGTCTCTATGAGGCCGTCGAGCGAGTCGTAGATCAAAGACGATCAAAGGCATGCTGAAGTGGAGACCTCCGCGCGAAGATGCATTCCACCTCTGGGGAGTAGGACGGATATTGCCATGACAGTTGACTGGCACCACGTAGGAACAATGGCCAGACCGAATCAAAGCAAACGACCAATAAGCCGCGGACATCAAGTAAGCCCACTCGACGTCTGTGGTCTGCATTCCCTCTGCAGTCGACATTGCGCAACTGTTCTGAGGTACCAAAACGTTCCAGCCCCCGTTGCACGGGGTTCCGTCGAGAGAGTCGCAGTTGTCGAGCAAATGCTAGAGCATATTGCCCAATACTTATTTCAGAATGCACGCAACATTCAACAATTACGCATACTAGAATGCACGCACACTTAACAATCACGCATGCAAAACATACACGGAAGAGGCGCGTCCAATGTACACGCCTTGTTCGACTCTGCCGTCGATGTCGACGCGTGTTGGGGCTCCCTGACAGTCGCCGATCTGTGTGTTCAATCTGCGGCCCCAGACCTCCCGACTGCTTCCCTGGGGGTGGTTGTTTGCACCAAAAATATTATTTGATGGTGCCAGCGCCCGATGAGGGGCCCCAGAGGGCGGAAACAACGCAAGGATGGAACAACACATACGTACTCTATTTCCTTTATTAAACGTGGGGGGACAAACGTCGTGGGGGGCGCCACGCCGGCGAAAATTATCCCAGGGCCTAATTTTCACGCCTGCGAAAAATACGTCGCCCGAACGCCAGCGGAAATTCTGCACCATCTCAGGGTCGCCAACGATAATGGTGAATCTAATGAATATGATAATGATAATGGTGATGACGATGTTGATGGTGAAGACGATCACACGATCATGAGGATGATGGTGAAACGATGAGAACGGTTCTGCCAGATGCGGTGAATGGACCATACTGTAAAAATGTCGATAACGCTGATGATGATGATGGTTGTAGCAGTGACGATGATGATGATGTTATGATAATGATGGCGATGAGTAGGCGCCGGCGAAAACTACGCCGCAATCTCGCGAGGGCCGGCGGTACATATTCTTCTGGGCCCAACGCCGGCGAAAATAATTATATTGGTGCCCAAAAGTGCGCGCTGTGAAAATTATATCACCCTCTTTTAATAAAGGAATACTGTCGGAGATCAGCACCGCAGCCTCGCTGGATGCGCTCATCAGTGACCCTCTTTGTCCGGCCTGGCGTCGGCACAGCCGCGTCCCAGAGTCGGCCATGACTGCGCATCGGGCCGCTCGTCGGAGCCGGCGGCTCTGGCGAGGGCAAACCGAGAGACCGTCGTCACACCATCTGTGCCGCCTTCCCTCCTGCCGCCGGCCGTGTTGTCAAGGGTCGAAGTCTGCGGTCGGGATTTTTTGCTTCGCGGGTGGCGGCGGCGACCCTGGCGACACACTATGCCCAGCGAGCGGGTGGCGCATCGCTCCGCTCCAGGGCGGGATGCTCGGCAAAACTCGGAGCGTTGACGCTCGGAGACCGGGACGTGGTTAGCATATCGCGCCGGAGCGTGGTAGGTTGATGCTTGCTGGTAGCGCGCAACATAGCAGCGCGCAGCTCCCGAAGGCGCCAGTTCCCAGGCGCCCACGACTGCGCGGCGCGCTTGCTGTCCGCTCGTAAAAACAACATTGCCTCCGTATCCGCGCTGTCGCCTGGTGGTTCATGCGATTGTGGTACTCAAAGCTCTCCACGCCGCGAAGCGCGGCTAACGTATTTGACACCCAGTGCCATACAAACCTCATCGCTGTGGTTGTCCTCGTCTCACTGGTCTGGTTGTTGCAGCTGCACAAGCCATAAAAAACATGACGCACGGGGGTGCACAGGATGAAGATGTTCCGCCAGAAGGACTCACTCCAGCGGCGCGCGACGGAACAGGGTCTCGAGCTCCCCGGTGATGACCAAATTATCTGGGTCGAGCGCGTGCTTAAGGGCATCCGGTTGACACCGTTCATCTTCTTGAGCCGACGGCGGGTATCCTGGGACAGTAGCCCGCGCCCCCCGCTCCAAGGCCCGCAGCGGGTGGCAGAAAAATCGCCGCCAGTGCGCAAAACCGCTGATAAGGCCAGCTTGCGCCATCGGCATGCATCAGCATGGCCACAGCTGGCGCATCGTGAAGCAAGAGCGTCGGAGGGGAGTAAAGCTTTCCACCAAGAGCTGCGCCAGTCTGGCACACGGCGCCACGGGTGACTGACGAAGCAGTCGCCATCATCGGGGGCGTGCGATCGAGGTGTGCCTGTGTGCGCGTGTGTGCGGAATGAGTGAGTTCGATGGATGGAGTATGCAGGATGGCAGGCAGACAGTAGCCAGCTGCTCAAAAAAAATGTTACGGTTCTTCTTCTTCTTCTCCTCCTCCTTCTTCTTCTTCTTCTTCTTCTTCTTCCTCCTGTCTGACTATGCCATAGGCGCGCGCGTTTTCCTTCGCGCCTCTGGTACCACTGCCGCAGCCCAGCCCGCCACTGCTGCACCTGAGCACGGGGCGGGGGGCCCCTCTCGCCTCTCTGGAAGCATGGCCTCCCCAGCTCCTCCATGATCTCCCGCCTCCTCCTCCTCCTCCTCCTCCTCCTCCTCCTCCTCCTCCTCCTCCTCCTGGTGCCCTCCTGCCCCTGACGTTCAGGATAAGCACTCAGCACACGTCTCCAACATCTTCTCTTGTTCCAAGAGGGCCGCACGCAGAGCCTCTCCCGTAACTCCCCATGCACAAGCCTGAGATTGTCGTGGCATCGTCAGCCGCAAAGTGCGATGGAACGGTGTCCAGCACCACAGGCCTAGATCCGACGCAGCGCTGTGCATTGCTGGTGCGGGTGGGGCCCGATGGTTTCCATTCGCTGTCGTCCTTCTGGGACCATCGCTCGCTCTCCTCCCACCGCACAGATGAAGAGGGCAACGAGCGCGGATGCAGACGTGCACGGCAGCACACCGGGAACCGAACAAACACCGCAGGGACGCCAGAGCGCGCGGGATGCTGGCCACGACTCCGGCCAGGAGGCGCCGTGGAGCCCAGAAGGACTCGCGCACGGGTCGAGGCGGGCGGCCCACCTCGGACAGAGGCATTCCACGGGGGTTCCGAGCAGGTGGGGTCGGAGGATCGCGCCGCGTCGCCGATGCATCGCCGATGCATCGGCGACGCTGGCGATGCATCGGGGCCGTCGACGTGGAGAGAATCGGGCGGCTCCGCTTCGAGCCGCATCGGCGATGCGGCGCGATCCTCGGGCCCCAGCTGCCTCGACCCCGCCTGGGAGGCCTGGATCGGAGGAGGGGCCTGTGAGGATGCCCCCCGCAGGAGCGCAGTCGACCCCCCCCCCTTGGGGTTGCTAAAGGTGCCCCCTGGCCCAATGTGATCCCGGCTTTTCGCTCCATTTTGGAGCCCCACAAAAGGGGCTCTGGGCCTCGAGAGGGGTGCCTCCTGGAGGCCTCGGAGGGCCTCCTGGGGAAATCCTGGGGGCACCTTGGGCCCGGGGCGCTTCCAGCACCCCCGCCCCCCTTGCTGGCTCCGCCCATGGCCCACCTCCTGCTCCCAGCGCCGCTTGCTCACCGCCGGGGCCGAGGCTTCCGGCGTGCGGGGTTCGCCCTCCAGCCTCTCGCCGACCGGGCGGCCCCGGGCGTAGGCGAGGTAGTCCGGCGTCGCCTTGATCATCTCCACCGCCCTGCCCCGCTTCTCTGCCCGGTCGCGCCAGCCCTAAGTATGTAATAGTAGATGCAATATACATTACAAGATGACCAGCCCTTCGGGAGGGGGCGGGTGGGCACCGCCGCTGGGAGGCAAGCGAGGAGGTGGCCGCAAAGAGAGACCTCCGCCGCTGCATGCGCGTCTCGAGTGGTGCGTGTGGTCCTGGCGCAAGTGCCATGCTAATCTCTTCTAGATCGTGATCCCCGAACGGAGCCCCCGGGCGACGCCGAGGAGGAGGAGGAGGAGGAGGAGGAGGAGGAGGAGGAGGAGGAGGAGGAGGAATCATTTTGCACGGACTTCATGCCGTGGGTGCCTGATTTTTGATAATCCCTGAATCTCTGGTTTCTGGGGCAGGAAGATCGCGAGGAGCGGGCTCCTGGACCTTAGCCTGTTCTGCTTACAGTATTCGCCTTCTGCCCACAATTGTGGGTATGCGGCCTCTCCGCCTTCCTTCGCTGTGCCGCCGCCGCCCAGGAGAGCCAAGGGAAAACCGTCCCTGTGGACCAAGCGCACGCGCCCTCACTCGGCTCCCCGACGGGCAGCGCCCAGGGAAGCCAAGGGCAGAAGGTCCTTGTGTACTAGGCGCCCGCGCCTACGCTGGGCCCCCCGAAAAGGAGCGGGTCCCTGCCTGGACAAGGCAAACCCGAGGTAGCCGCAGTTCCTGGATGGGGAGCGGGTCCCTGCCTGGGCAGGGCAAACCAACGAGGCAAAGTTCGGCTCCCCGATAGGGAGCGGGTCCCTGCCTGGACTGCGGCCGCAGTTCCTGGATAAGGAACGGGCCCCTTGCCTGGACAAAGGCAAACCCGCGCGGCAAACGCTCGGCTCCCCGATAGGGAGCGGGTCCCTGCCTGGACAAAGCAAACCCAAGTCAGCCGCAGTTCCTGGATAAGGAACGGGTCCCTGCCTGGATAAGGCAAACCCACGCGGCAACCGCAGTCCCTGGACAAGGGACGGGGCCTTGCCTGGACAGGGCAGGCCCACGAGAATCGGCGCAAGACCCTCGACGGGGGGGTTGGCCGACGGCGAGCCAGAAGGCGAGCCAACGTCCACAGGTCTCCGCGGATAGCCTGGACAAGGTAACCGTGGCGACATGTTCGCCGGCGACACCACGGCGGAGTCGTCGCCTGGCAACGGTGATGTTTTCGTAGGTCCTGCGGGCGCAGCGCGTCTGGCAAGGATCGTGATATCCGACTTGCTCGGATGGGAATTAGACGCTGGCATGGCGGTGACCGAGGGTGCAAGCGCAGTGATTCTCGGAGTCGGCGTCCACTTTGACGACGCCAAACAGCCCATCATTTTCACCCTCGAAGCCGAGAGGGTCGAGAAATGGCGTGCAGAAGTCCGGGAAGCATTGCAGCAGCGCTCACTTTCGCCAGCTCAGGCCCAAAAGCTTGCGGGCAAGTTGAGCTGGGGCGCAACCGCCGTTTTTGGCCGAGGCGCACGTGTATATTCAGCAACGATTTTTCATCACGGTGCGAGCGATCGACGCAGACTGTCCCGGCGAGCGCAACTGTGCTTACAGTGGTGGCTGCGCTTCCTACAGAAGCCGCCGCCCCGAAACGTGCTAGTGCAGCGTTCAGAGCGACCCCGCTGCATCCTTTACACGGATGCCACGGGCCATGGGCGGATGGCACGTGTCATCCACGCCCCCGCTTTAAAGGCCTGGGCAGCAACCGACGTCCCAGCAGTTGCCAAAAAATGGGTTCATTACAAGGAGAACCACATTGGCACCTCGGAGCTCATGGCAGCGGCTTGCGCCCTCAAGGTTTTGATGGACCCTATGTCAGACGACCTGGAGATCGTAGCCTTCGTAGACAATGCCAGCGCGTTGGGGGCCCTCTTGCGCCGGTGTTCCAGGCAGGCCAACTGGAACGATTTAATCGGCGAGTTGTTGCGCAGCGTGGCCATTTGTTGCACATCTGGCACGTGCCATCATATTTTAAATCTGGCCGATGCACCCACTCGCACACAAGCCAAGGCAGAGCTCACTCACTCACTCACTCACCAAAATGTCCAAAGGTCCAAACATCAGGTATTAGTTGAAATACGCTGAGACCCTAGACGGTGCTCGCCACTTTGGCGTCTCATTTAGGCACCGCGCAGCTCATGACTGTGAGCAGTGCGGCACGGAAGCGGCGCACACACAGACCAGCTCACCGAGGGTGGCGACCCCGACCC